GGAAAAGCACCGACCCGGCATCACTGGTGTAAGCAGCGCCCAGAGTTGCGTACGGGAGATCAAAGTGCCCGGAGGCGGCTTTTCTCTGCCGTGGGGATGCGCTGACCTCCTGGCCCCGTTCCCTGTGGGCTTTACCCCGCCGAGACCCCTCGGCAGTGTGGCCTCCTCGTTTCGAATGGTGTGCCGTGCCCCGGGTGCCGCTGTGCCCGGAACGCCTTCGCTGGCTCCCGTTATGGGACACCTTGGTGACGCCAAGATCGGGCTGATAGGATAAGGGGAATAAAGCCGCGGGGCAGCGGTGGCTCTGGCTGGACTTGCCATGGCTGGGGACCTTTCCCAGCGGGGAAGCGTGAGGAATTAAAACCCGTAACAATTAGCAAGCTGGCTGGGGAGGGGAGCGAGCCCCCTGCGTCTCCGAAGGCGACCAGATTGCAGAGGGCTGATAACATGTCTCCAGCAGAGATGCTATTCAGCCCCTTGGGTTGTTTACTCGGTTGTTTTTGGGAAGCAGGTGGTTGGAAACATTGCCTGAGCAAAGTGGCAACTTCACGGCCAGAGGACCGGCTCCAGTCGGGGCCGTGCTGCTGATGGGCGCTGAGTGAGGCACGGCAGGGCCGGGGCTGGGGGCTGCATTTCTGAGGGGAGGTTGACCTGTCCAGTTCCTCCACATGGAACAAAGATAAGGGAAGGATTTTATTTTTATGACAGACAAGCTAAATCTTGAACATCAGAGAGCAGCAAAGGCCCTCTGAATTCAGGGGATCTCCCCAGCACCCACTGGACATACCTCTTTCCTCCAACAGCTTTCATTTCACCTGGCCAGCTGCCTTTTAAATGAATTCCTGTTTTGTCTCTGGCTGTGTGGCAGAGGCTCATCCCAGCCCTTGCACTTGGGGGGGGATGCTCATCCCAGCCCTTGCACTTTAGCTTTGGGTGCCAGGAGCCCCATAAGCTCTGGATGGTGATCAGCCTACCTAGGTATGGAGGATGGGCTTGAGGTTAAAGCAAAGTGCTGGCACTGAAAGGAGGTGGAGGTGTTAATGCTTTAGCTGAATTTGGTAAAAACTCTTGTGGAGCTTTAGATACAGCATCTTTTAACTTTTTTCTTGTCTTCTCTTCCCTTCCCTGCAGACATTAGCCCCGAGACTCGTGCCAACGTCAAGTTTGTGCAGGACACTTCCAAATACTGGTACAAACCGGAGATCTCCAGGGAGCAGGGTGCGTAGACGGCACAGGGTGAAGGATATGGTCAAGTGAGCCATGGTCAGGAGTTGGGGTTTATCTGGGATCACAGGGATTGGCAAGGATTTCCCACAGGAGTTGGGTTAGGAGTAAAGGTGGATTGTGGATGCACATCATTGCAGAAGGGGATTGAAGCCCAGCTCTGCTGCAGACTTGCATGATGTGGGCTCCCCAAACTTTACCCTTGGTGGAGAAGCACCGGTCCCTGCAGTGTGCAGTGGATCTATGCAGTTTGGGGTGCAAAGCACCCAAATCATAAGTTGAGAGAGCTCAGAGTGGTGTTGGAGACATGGCTAAAATAAGAGGGGAGAACAAGGACGGGGCAAGGTGCCTTCATGGGCAAGGTCCCAGTATTTGGTCCCTGGTCCCTGCCTGCTCTCCAGTGCTTGGTTGTTCAGAGCTGAGCTGGGTGGGAATGGGTGCTCCGAGATGCCCATGCAAGGGCAATTGAGGCAGGGAGGAGATGAGCCCCTGCCTGACCACAGACCCACTCGAGACCCTCATCCAGATGTGCATGGGGAATGGTAACATTGCGGTGCGCAGCTGCAAGGCCAGGGCACCCTGTTGTGACCCACAGCAGCTGGTTTTGGAGGGCATGTTGGCTCTGGCCATGCTGGCTCTGAGGTCTTCCGTTCTCTCCTGCAGCCATCGCCCTGCTGAAGGACAGGGAGCCAGGGGCTTTCATCATCCGAGACAGCCACTCCTTCCGGGGAGCCTACGGCCTCGCCATGAAAGTGGCTTCTCCGCCTCCTACCGTCATGCAGCAGAACAAGAAAGGTACTGTGTGCCCTTCTTCATCCCACGCCGAGATGCTTTCCATTGTTCGGCTGGGGCAAGCAGGCAGCTGGGTCTGCTGAGCCGGGCATGCCCTTGCGTATGTGCTGATGTGGCAGGGGCCCTCCCTGCCAGCCCTTCCCTTCCAGGACACAGGGAAGCACCAGACACTCTCTGCCCTGAGCTGCTGAGGGCTTGGGGGCATCTGCATCTTGGGCATTGGCATGGTGAAACAGGCACAGCCTCCCCAGCCCACCAACACCACGGGGGAGCCTGGCTTGGGGTTGACCCTGTGCAAAGGGCCGGATTTGAGGAGGGTGTGTGGAGTGGCGGAGACGCCTTCCTGAGCCGGAGCTCTGGTTTCCCTGTGGGATTGCAGGGTTGGAGGAGGAGGAGGGTGGCTCTGGTGTGAGAACATCCCATCTCTTCCCAGGAGACATCACCAATGAGCTGGTGAGGCACTTCCTCATCGAGACCAGCCCACGGGGTGTGAAATTAAAAGGGTGCCCGAACGAGCCCAATTTTGGTGAGTGCCCCCCGCAGCGTGCTTCCCACATGCAGGCTTGGGTTAGGAGAGCCTTACCTTTACGGGACTGTCAAAGCAGAGCTGTTGGGTGTCTGGGAGAGCCCCAGCCTCTGTTATTGCCTCCTGTCCCTGTGTAACGGAGTCCTGTGGACATTTGGAGCCCCTGGGGTCATGCACACTCACAAGTGCACACAGATGTGCCTGTATGCACAGGTACGTCCCTTCCTGCACACACGTGTAGGACAAATGATGCTGCTGGGCAGGGTGGAGGGCAGGGGCTCCCCTTGTTCCAGTTATTCCAGGGCTAATGTGCTCTGAGGAGCACCTCTGCCCCATTCGTTGTTCCTAAGGTGGCCCTGGCATCTCTGCCACCTCCCTAAGCCCTCCGTGGGCGTGGTGGTTTCAGCAACAAGAAATGCCACGCGTGGCATTAGGACCACAGTGAAGAAACCCACCAAAAAGCGTGTTCCTGTCCACCCGGAGAGACAATAAACTAACACCAAGGGAACCTGTGTCCCCAGCCCTGCGCTGACCATCTCCCCTCTCTCCCCAGGCTGCCTCTCGGCTCTGGTGTACCAGCACTCCATCATGCCCTTGGCCCTGCCCTGCAAGCTGGTCATTCCCGACCGAGGTAAGAGCCAGGACCAGAAAGGAGTGCATCTGCCCCAACAGTCTGCAGGGTGGGTTTCCAAGCAGGGAGCAGCAGTAACCATGCCATGTCTTCTAGATCCCATGGAGGAAAAGAAAGACACTGCGTCGGCCACCAACTCGGCCACGGACCTCCTGAAACAGGGTGCGGGTGAGTAGAGAGGGGCTGTCATGGGGTGGATGTGGCTCGGAGCAGTGGTTGACCCCACGCCTTCTGTCTCCCTTTCCAGCCTGCAATGTCCTCTTCATCAATTCGGTTGAGATGGAGTCGCTGACGGGCCCCCAGGCCATTTTCAAAGTCTCTGCACAAGGCATCACCTTAACTGACAACCAGAGGAAGTAAGAGTCCCCGTGGCCATGTCCCCGTGTCCCCAAAGCCAATGGGATTGTGATCCAGGGAGCGTATTGATGAAGGATGTCCCTGGGGTGGCATGAGCCTGGTCATGGGCAGGGCTGGGCTTTGTTCTTGACTTCTGGAGCATCCTAGGGGAGACCTGTGGGAGTGTCCCCCATGCCAGTGGGAATGGGCTGTGGTGGGGCAGAGGTGAGGGCTCCCTGGCCCTGACGCTCCCTGCCTTGCATTTCAGATTGTTCTTCCGACGACACTACCCCCTGAACACCGTCACCTTCTGCGACCTGGACCCCCAGGAACGAAAGTGAGTGCCCTCACCTGAGGGGAGCACATGTCCCCTGCCCCTTTCCCTCCCTCAGGCTCCTGGGCTGCTTGGAGCAGGGTCTCTGCTTGCTATGTCCTGTGGAGGGCAGGGATGCAGGGTCCTCTTGGATACCGTGGGGCAACACCAGCATCTTCTGGTGACAGCTTGGTGTCTCCAAGCATCTTTTTGCTAGGGGAGAGGCGCATCAGGTTTTTTTGCTGTAGAACCAAGCCTGTGCAAAGCCAGGCTGGCCCTCCAGCATTGGTGCGGTGGCCCCTATCTGTGTCTCTGTGGGGTGCAGGAGGCACCATCCCTCACACCTCCTCTTCTCCTTGCAGGTGGACTAAAACTGATGGCAGCGGCCCAGCCAAGTAAGTACTTTCTGTGCTCAATTCCTCCCAGCCACTGTTGAGGTGGCTTCTGCTTGTGTTTGAGCATTGGCTGGGAGATGCCCCATGCAGGACACCGTGAGATAGGCTCAGCTCCTTGCTGCAGGAACATTTCACCCTGGCATGAGACCGTGGTCCTGGAGACTTGGGAAGTATCTTTCAGCCCCAAATTCCTGGTCAGAGCAGGCATGGCCCATGCTGAACTGGCCTAACTGGAAACTCTCCCAGCGGAGTCAGCGGTAGCCAGCTCATGGAGCAGTCGGGGGTTATGCTGATGGTGTGCGAGCCACCAGTGAGCTCTTCCCTTTCCTCCTGTCCTCCCTGTCCTGACCCACAGAAGTGCAGAGCTGCCGGCTAAGCCCATTTCCAGGGGCCAGTTCCCACTAATTTTAGCCATTGTGTTAGCAAAGGGGTTTTTATTAGGATGTCCAGCTGCTGGGATATTTCCCCTGTGCAATTAGAAATGCCACAGCCTGGGCCTGTCTCACATTCTGTTCCCCCGTATTTATAACTTGAGTTTGCACGTTCTAATTAAAAAAAAGAAAGGTATATTTTGTTCATCAGGGGACAGACAGACAGAAATAACTGCATGGTCTCACCCAGCTGCCCATGTCCCCACATGGCCTTCCTCTCATACAGTGTCTACCCTGATGTCCAGCCCATCACACCTCTGTGGTTTCAAGAGTCATCACCCAAACCAAGGGAATGCTGTGGTCATCTGGAAGGTCCCTTCTTGGGGGCGGTCTAGGGGAGAGTGGCAGGGATGGTCAGAGCAAGGGAGGTTTGGCCAAGAGAAGATGATGGAAATGCAGTGCTGGCCTTCAAAGAAACTGCAGCAAAGGGAAGAGTAGATGGGACTTCATGCAGGCTGGTTTGGGATGTCTCCCTCTGAGTTGTGCAAGGTGGATGTTAAAGAGGGGAAGGTGGACAAGACCAAGCTGGGAGAGGGTGGTAGTGCTCCTTGGGTGAGCAACGCTGGCAAACCTCGCTGAGCCTCTTGCCTTCTCCCCACCCAGGCTCTTCGGCTTCGTGGCCAGGAAGCAAGGGAGCACCACAGACAACATCTGCCACCTCTTCGCCGAGCTGGACCCAGACCAGCCAGCTGCAGCCATCGTCAACTTTGTCTCCAGAGTCATGCTCGGCTCTGGCCAGAAAAGATGAGCCGGCGCTTGCGGGTGATTCTTGAATTTTGGAGAAGGACTTGGAGCTGATCCGAGAAGGAGTGTGAGAAAGTGCATTGTGGGAGAGGGAAGTGAATCGGGGGGGGAAAAGGGTTGGAATTCTGGAGGAAAACAGCAAACAAGAAAAAAAACCCCAACAAAACCCCTAAAAACTCAACACAAGCCAAACACACACACAGAGGAACCAAAACCACGCACCTACATAAGAGAGCCACAAAGTCACGCCAGACAGGATGCATGTCCCAGCGCGCGGAAGGTGACCAAAGCGAAGGCAGCAGGGAGAGGCGTGTTCCCAGCTTTCGGCATCAGGGTCCCGAGCGGTGACATCCACTCGGGACTGAACGCGGGACCATGACTGGTGTTTCCATCTGAAAAAAAAGAGACAATTGGCAAAATCCATGGGAGAAGCTCCATTCCAGCAGCTCCATCGGTGAACACCTGCTGCATGTTTCAAACAACTTGTAGGAGGTAACAACGTGGGCTGGGTCTGCGGGACGCTGGAAGAGATGCTCTCGGAAGCCTTCCCTTGCCTGGCTGCAGCGGAGGGTCCTCACCAGCCTCCGTGCTTCTCCCAAAACCTGCCGGCTGCCTGGTGACTTGCTGGGGGCATGAGGAGCTTGGTCTCGAGCCCTTCCGTCCTGGGGAGCTCGGCCGGGGGCTGACCTCCATTGCTGACCCAGAGCCCAGTGTCTGCCACAGGTGAGCTGCTGTGAGCCCACCCGCAGAGGGGGGTCATGGCATTTTGCCACCTCCCTGGGGGTTCCCGTGCCCCCCAGCCCGCGGGGGGGTCTTGGGGGCTCCTGCTGCCCCTTCGCCCGAGGAAAGCAGATGCAGATGCTGCCTGGGAACCTCCTGGGAGCGTGCAGAAAGTCACATCCTCGCCTGTCTTCCCCTTTTCCCTCCCATCACTTGGCCTCTGTGGCAATTTTCTCCTGTGGCCTGTCACACGTTCTCTTAACACAAAAAAACAAACAGAAAGGAAAGAAAAAAGTAGTAATAATAATAATAATTATAATAATAGCAAATGCTGGCACCAAGTAACTCAGGCGCTTTTTTCTCCTTTTGTTTTGGAGGCCACGTTAAAAAAAAAGAAAAAGAAAGACAAAAATTAAAAAAAAAAAGATGAAAGAAAAAAGGAAAGGACCTGCAGTCGCTGGGCAACTTTGGCTCGGTGGGGAGGTAACAGATCCTCCGAGAGCCACCCTGCTCGGCACGTGCGTACCCCAAATCCGGCTGGCTGGAGGCTTGTGCCCCCCTGACTGCACTGTAGTTTTGCAGTGGCTTCGGTGCAGTCGGCTTTTCCCTTTTCTTTGGGAGGTGAGGAGGGCCAGCTGGGGGGCGAGAGGGCCGAAGGGCCCCCATGCTGCTGCGGCGGCGGGGGGGGGGCAGGAGGGGGGGG